AGGCCGCGCGGGGCGGCGAGGAGCAAAATGATGGAATAAGTCTGTTGAATAATGATGTGGCGTGCCGCGTGCGCGCTGGGTGCTGGGCTGGGTGTGGCGTGGCGGTGAGGCGCGCGCCTGGGCGCCTGCCTAGTAGCCGTGCTGGCAGTGTGCTGGAACGAGGAAACTTTCGGAATCGATAGTTTGGAATCGACAAGTTGGAGGTTCTCTCAATCCCATGCGGCAGTCTAACGCACGTGTGTGTGGCGTCTGTCTGCCCGCCCGTCCGTCCGACCGTGTGTGGGTGTAAAAGTCATGCCCTCGTGCCCCCCGTCCCACCCCCGCCCCGCCTCGGCGCGCAAGGCCCCGGAAGGGCCCGGAAGGCTCCGCCCGGACCGCAGGCACCTTTGTCGGCGCCAACTGTCACACTCGCACGACGGTTTGCGTGAGGCCCGCGTGACGGGCCCGTCACAACTCGTCACGCCCCGCCGCCTCCGCGCCGCCTCCGCGCCGCCTCCGCGCCGCCTCCGCGCCGCCTCCACGCCGCACTCCGCCGCCCCATCTGTGTTTTGCGGTTTCGCCCCTTCCGGCCGTCCGGCCGGCCTGACCGCGCCGCTATTGTGCCGGCCGCCGTGACGTCACCGCCGTCAGGCGCGCGCGCACACACACACACACAGCGCACGATTGACGGTTGGGCAAAAGTCACGAACAATAACGGCAGGAGGATGAAAATCGATGGTCTAAAAATAAAAAGAGCGTTGCGAAAGGCCGCCGTCGGCTCGCGCCATTAGGCCAGCCAGCGTCGTTGCGTGCCGCCGTGCCGCGCCGGCCGTGCCGGGGGCATGCCGCTCACGCCCCGTAATGCGTATTCACGCGGCGCAGCGCGGCGCCTCTCCGAGGTGCACCGGACGGCGGCGGCCACGGCGGCACAACGCGTCAAACAACAAAAACAAAACATATCTGCAGGTGGCGGCAGTCGGTCGCCCGCCGCGCAAAGTCCGCGGCGGCGGAAAAAAAAACTGTATCAAGTGTCCAGGACGCCCCGTGCATTGCAAATGGAAACGGAGGCGTCCCGCTCCACTGGTCGCAGAGGGCTTTTCCTGCGGCGAGTTTTCGTTTTTGTTTCATTTTTTGATTCGAGGACTTTGTAACGCTCAGAGCAGTGTCGCTCGGGAAAGAGAGTCGGAAACATTTCTCGCAGCCAGCCACCCCTGTCGACTGGCGGGCAGGGCGGGGCGGCGGGCTCGCGGCTCGCTGTGTGTTTACCAACAGTTGGCGGCGAAATAATAGTCTCGCGATTAGCATAGCGGGGAGTCATTATGACGCTGCGATGATGCCGCCGCTGCTTCCGCGCGGCCGAGCAGCCTGTCCTATCCGCGGCGTCCGCGGCGTCCTGGTGAAGGTGATTTACAGCCTCGAAACCTAGCCGGCCGGCCGAACCCTGAATGAACCGCCTAGCTTCGGGACTCGGCCGCCAGAGGCCGCCAGAGGCCGCCGGCCGCGCGGATCGGCGCTCGGCGGACTCATTCCGAGCCGTGCTTCTCTCCGTCTCCCTCGCACCCACGCGGGACTTGCGGGGCGCCCCGCGAGTGCGAGTGAGACAGGCGGCGGCGGCGAAAGCATTAATTCCAATCGGCGGTGCCTCCAGACGCCAAGCTTATCGCGCCCGGCTACCGGACAGACTCGGAGTCGTTTTCGTCGCTCTGCCTCTCTCGCGCTCACGCGGCGTCCCGCGTCGGTGCGAGAGAGGCAGAGCGACGAAAACGACTCTCGGAATGAGTGTCCTGGCCCGGCTGCAGTCTCGGCGGCACTCCGGTAGCCGCCCCGTCCCGCCGCGTCCCGCGAGCGAAGTAACATGTTCGATAAGGCGGCGAGGCTGGGCAGGGCACGGCTCGGCACGGCACGGCACGGCACGGCGCCTCCGCGGCTCTTTGCGTCGGCCTCCACTTGGGAGGTAAGGCCAAATGCGTTCCTCGCCGCGTCGCCAAGTGCTTTTCGTTCTCGCCGATCAATGGGCGCCGCGATGGGCCTCTCTCTCGCACTCACGCGGCGCGCCGTGGCGCTGCGAGAGAGGAGAGAGACGGAGCACTGCTCGGAATCTGCCCGCTGAATGGGCAACCCGTTGGCCGATGAGTCGATGATGGAGGTCGCCAGGCCGCGGCCAGGCCTCGTCCTTCTCCGGCCGGGCCATCATTCACACGACTCTAGCTCCCGGGCGCGTCGCTGTGTCACCTCGTGTGTGTGAGTGTAACCGGTCGGTGTGCGTGTTATTTCCTCCCCCCACCCGAAAACACACAAAAAAGGAACAGAAAGAGGATAAAATACAGCGTGATAATGAGTTTCCCTCGGGTAGCAGCAGGCGCTAAAACTAACGAGTTGGACATAATCAGATTCACGGCAGGTCCAGCGTCAGGGCGAGCCAGGCGACCCACACGGCGGAGGGTGATTAGGCCGACCGGGATGGCCGGCATGACGGCCTCCTTGTGGGTCTCCGGGTCTCCGGGGCCTCTCGGTGACAAAGCGCCGGCCGTGGTATCGGCTGCCGATCGGCGCTCCGCCTGCTCGCCCTGCCCAGCCCTGCCCAGCCCTGCCCAGCCCTGCCTCCCAACGACCCCCCGGCCACGGCCACCGCCATCACATCGCCAAGTCGAGGAGAGGAGGTGACTCACCGCGAGCCTCCACCAAAAAATTACGCAATTATTTCCGCAAAAATTAATATTTCGGGCTGTCTGTGGCGCCAGCTCCGCGTGAACTGCTGCGCAGCGGGGCTCGCAGTTCTGTAGACGAACTTGGACGGTGGCGCGACGCGGGCTTCGACGGCCTTTCGACGGCCGTGGGACATGCCGACAGTGTGGGGGCGACTGGAGCTGCATGCTGCACTTGTTGGAGAGTGTGGGACCCAATTAGGCCGGCTGGACACGGAGCGTGTCCGGCACTCCAGCGCCCTGCCCTGGGCCGGCCCTGGGCCTGCCTCCCCCTTCCAGCACTCCAGCAGCCGGACAGGGAGGCAGCGTCTTCTTGTTCGGCCCATTTGCAAGTTCGCAGGGCTTGGCAGGGCAGGGCGTCGCGCAGCAGGGCGACATTGCGATCGCCCGATAAAGGATTCGGCCGGAAGCTAATTCGATGCAGTGAAGTGGAATTAGTGCCCCGCCACCTTAAGGTCCTTGTCTGAGGCGCGCGAAATCGCCTGGCCGGAACCCCCAACTTGGACCTCGACGCCGGCCGCGCAGCCCCCGTCCAACTACGCCATGCCCCCGGCCGAAGCCCTGCCTAGGAACTGGACGAAACAAAAAGAGGAGGCAAGATAATTAGGTGCAGAACACGTCCCACGTCCCCGGTGAATCCCCGATGAAGAAGCCAGTGGCTCCGGGCCGGGCCTGCCTCATGGCTGCCCCATGGCTGCCTCCGGGCGGGGACGGCTCCGGCCTGCCCGGCTTGCCCGGCTCCACCGCGGTGGTCCCGAGCGCCATAAAACGAAACGCCATTAACGGCTCGGGCCTTACACCATGCACTTTTTCAAACGGGAAACGGGTATTTTCAAAGAAAGAATGTCAGGCATGTTTCTGTTTTATTCCCTCACCGGGTGGTGACATAATTAAGCCCCGGGCTCGGTCCGGTCCAGCCGCGCTGCCGTATCTCGGACTGCGTTACTTTACAAATTTATCAGGACATCGGTGGAGATGCCTGGGATTGCTCGGCGCTCGCTTCGTTCGATCAATTTTTCCCTCCAACGGAAAGAAAAGCAATGCCCTCAAAGGGACCCACGCGCTCGGGGCAGCACACTATTACCTCTCACCATGAGGTGTAGTTACAGTGATGGGATTGGCCGCTTCCGGCGCGAGCCGCGTCAGCCGCGCCAGCCGCGCGCCAAAGTGAAGGATTCGACCGCAGGGGCACGCGGGGCACGCTTGTGTGGCTTTGCGGCTGCAGGCTCCAGCAGGTCCAGCCGGCCTGCACCCACAATGCCGGAGCAGCGCTTGTTTCGGCTGGGATAAACTTCTTTCCTGGCCGTCGGCGTGCCGTCGGCGTGCCGTTGGCGCCGTGACAGCGGGCCCGCGGTGTGTCGTCGTCGTCGCGGTCCGCTGCCGTCGCCACGCGGCCCCGCCCCAGATGCATCCTCCGCTGCCGCCGCCTCCGGTCCACTCCGGGCCGCCGCCACCGGCCGCCACTGCCTCCGCGGCAGCCGGGCCGCACGGGCCGGACCTGCCTCCAGTGCCTCCAGTGCTTCCAGTCGGTGGCGGATGCATTACAACGCCCGGAAACGCCCCGAAACGCCCTTATTCTGTAGGCCAGTAATGGCTGGGTTCCGGCCGGCCTCACTTCGGGCACGTTCCATGGGCGGCCCATAGCACGAGGTGTATTCCCGACCGCGCTGCCCACAGCGTGTGTCTGTGTGTGTGTGTGTGTGTGTGTGTGTGTGTGTGTGTGTGTGTGTGTGTGTGTGTGTGTGTGTGTGTTGGTAAAGCAGCAGGCGTCTTTCTCGGATCAATATGGAGGGTCGTGGCTTGTTTGTAAAACCTAACCTCTTCGTGCATATTCATACTGCCGCCCCGCCGCGCCCCGCCCCGCCCCGCCACGTGGCCTGGCTTTGGCTGCCGGCCGATGGAGCCATCGTAATATCCGTGGAACGAGGAAAAGCGATCGTAATGACCGAAAGTGGTCTCTGTCGCACCGGCCGTCCGGCCGAGCGCCGCCGTTTGGAACAGACCCGCTGCATACATTACGGCCCCGGCCCACCGCGGCCCGCCGCGGCCCGGCCCGGTCCGACCGGCAGACACGCCGACACTCATTAGCAAATATTTGCAGTTGTTTGGCTGCGCTTTTGCGGGGATTAGCGGCGGCGGCATTGGCCGCCATTGGCCGGCATTACCGCACGCACTGCGTGCTGCGTGCACTATGCGCACGCCAGGCTGGACCGGCTGGACCCCCCGGGGCCGACTTTCGAATTAGTCGTCGACGTTTTCACTCTATTTGAACACTCTTTCGAGGCGTTCATCGTGATGTTCTTCTTGTGCTTCCAGACGATCCTGAACTCAATGCACAAGTACCAGCCCCGCTTCCACCTGGTGCGGGGCCACGACGTCCTCAAGCTGGCCTACAGCACCTTCAGGACGTACGTCTTCAAGGAGACCGAGTTCATCGCCGTCACGGCCTACCAAAACGAGAAGGTAAATTTTTCGCATCAGGCGTCCTTTTTTTTTGCCCTTTTTCTTGGCGTCCTGCGGCGGCGGCGGCAGCACCGTGTGTCGCGTCGGGACGCGAGGCGATACCCCTTGCGGCCGCCGCGCCGCCGCGCCGCCGGGTCTCGGTATGCGCGGGGTATCGCCGCGCGCCTCGCCCGAGGCTCGCGGTGGCTGCCCAGGCCGCACGCAGCCATCGCCTCTTAATTGCTGTACTCGACGATAAAGTAAGTGGCTTTTCTCCTCGCTCCGCCAGATCACGCAGCTCAAGATCGACCACAACCCGTTCGCCAAGGGCTTCCGGGACACTGGCGCCGGCAAGAGAGAGAAGAAGTGAGTACTTCGGGCGCGGACCGTCGTGGTGGTGGCGGCGCTGGTGGCGCCCATGCCGGGCGTGGCCCTGTTGACGGTGTCCTCCCACCTTTTTACTGTCACAACTGTCGTAAAGCTGTCCGCGCGCCGTTCGGCGACTCGGCGACGCGAGCTTCACCACCAGCCCCAAATCGCCGAGCCCCGCCGCCGCCCTGTTTGCCTAGCGCGCCTAGCGTTCGGGTTGGCGCCTCTCGCGCCGCTCCGTGGCGCCCCACTCGCCCCCCAAACGCCCTCCGCGACTCCTGGCCGCCGTCATGATGGCCGTGACCGCGCAGAAACACGGCGCCCCCGTGGGCCCAGCGGGCCCCACCCCTTCACCGTGACGCACGGCCCGCACGGCCGGCTGGATCCGCACGCACGTCGTTCCTCCGTCTCCCTCTATCTCCCTCGCGCCCCCGACGCGAGTGCGACAGAGATACGAAGCGACCCGGAACCAGTCTACAGCTCGGCCGCCGATAGGGCGCTTCAATTTCGGGAGGCCCCGCTTCTATCTGCCCCGGTCCGTCCCGGTCCCCCTTGATAAACGCGCCACCCCGCCGCGGCGCGCCGCCTTCCAGGCCGTCCGCCAGTCCGCCCCCGCCGTCTGATTTATACCATCCCCCTCCCCCTCCGCGCCGCGCGCGTAAATTATATTTGCAGCCGATAAGCAGCGCGGTTCGTCCGTGTTTCGCCTCATCGCAGGCAGACGTGGCGACAGGCCCGACAGGGCGAGGCAATTTACCCCCGGACGCCAGGTCGCCAGGTCCGCCACCAGGGCGAGGCTCCTCCGCCAACACCGAAGTGGTGTGTTTGTGTTGTCCCGGCCGTCTGGACCAGCAGGGACGAGACGTCGCCGAGGCGGTGCTCGCCCTGCCGGCGGTCGGTGCGGGCCCTTTGCGCACGCTGGCGTCACGCTGGCCGCCGCCAAGACGTACGGAGGCGAACACCCGCACCCGGAGGACCGGAGGCGCCGGGACCAAAGTGCCTGTCGGCGGCCGCTTCTTCCGGGCGAACGGCGAACCGCTGCTCTTGGTGACAAAGTGGGGTACGCCGGCCGACCCTTATTAGCGCCACTGCCTTGCCCCGCCTCGCCCCGCCCCGCTCCTCAACCCCGGTGGCGGCTCAGCGGCGCCGTGTACCACACTGTGCTGTGTGTCGAGCGGCGCGGCGGGGCGTGGGTGGGACCGCTGCTGCCTAGCACCGCTGCCTAGCACCGCTGCCTAGCGCCCGCGCTAGCGCCTCTGGGGAGCCGTAACGGAGATGTACGACTACACCGCGCCGCGGACACCGGACTTAACGTGCGTGTGTGTGTGTGTGTGTGTGTGTGTGTGTGTGTGTGTGTGTGTGTGTGTGGCGCCAACGCCCCTGATGGTCGCACACTCCCGTCCGTCCGCACGTCTGTCTGTCTGTCTGTCCGTCCCTCCGTCCGTCTGTCCGTTTGCCGACCGAGCATCGCGAATCGCGCGAGTGTCTGCGAAGAAAAGGCCATTCCTCGGTGGCCCCGCCACGACGCCACGACGGCGCCACGCCTTGTCAGTCCGCGCCACCAGCGCCGCCCCGCCCCGCCCCGCTCTGGGCCGGCCACGGCTCGGCGACGAAACAATATACCGGCTGTTAGCGGCTGACGGGGATAATTGCGCCGGTAAAAGCATTAGCGACAGGCCGAGCGGCCGAGCGGCCACCGTCCCGGGTAGGGGTGCGGCCGGCAGGGAAGGCGAGGCGAGGCGAGGCGGTCTAGACGGAGTGACTGGAGCGCGCTGGTGCCGGTAAGTGGCGGGCGGCGGGGGGGCTCTGCAAGGCACTGCTTGGCGGACAGGGTGGCGGGGCGCACACCGTGTCATTCATGCGGTAACAAGCTTTTTCTCGCATCCAGTCCGCCCGACCGCCCGGGCCCCGCCCCCACCACCGGGGGCTCCATTCTGGCGCGACTTCCTCGCCGCCGGCAACGTGGCCGACGTGGCCAAGGTGGCCCCGGCGCCGGCGGAGATTGCCCTGCTAACGCCCCCTCGTGTCGCCACCGTGTCCGGGACCGCCGGGACCGGAGTCGTCGGCCCGGAGTCGCAGTGGAGCCGCCTGCTCACTCCGGCGTGGCACGGCGGGCACGGCACTGGCAAGGCGGTCCGGCGGCGCGCCGCGTCCTCAAAGCGGCCTTATCTTTATCTCGCTCGCTAGAAAAGGAGGACTGTCCTGCCGCCTGCCGCACGGCCGCACGGCCCCGACGGACGGCAGCGGTGCTGCATGGCGCCAGCCGGCGGGCCGGGCAGGCCGAGCACGCCGAGCACGGAGTGGCGGCGGCTCGTGCTTGGATTCGCGAGTGGACGCTGAGGGCCGCGAGGAGATTGATGTCTAATTGATTGGCTGCCGCGGGCCGAGCCGAGCCGAGCCGTGCCGTGGCGAGCAGGGCCCGCTAGATCACAACACACCTGAGCGTGCCTCAGCCTGCACCCCCTGCGTGTCGAATTCCAAAGTGAATGGTGGGTACGGCGATGCACGGGCAGCCCCCCACGTAGTCCAGCTGGCCAGGTAGCGGGGCGGGGTGGGGCGGGGCGGGGCAGGGAGCCCCCGGGGCGCTTGAGCCACACCACGCCACGCCAGACCAGTCATTACCTCATCAATTTCGTGAGAAGGGAAGGACGGCACGGCGAGAGTGTGCCAACACTGTAGAGGCACTGGCTAACAAGGGTGGTGGGTGCATGTCACCCCACACTGTTAGGGCCGGGTATTCATAGTTGCTCCACTGTCATTCGTGCCCAGATGTACGTAACCATATTCACGATATCTGGACCATGGTGTTGCAAGGGGGTAGCTTGGAACAGGATTACATGCACCTTTGCACACGTCGCGGCCGACCCCCCACCACTTTCAACCACCCCGTGTGGCTTCCCCCACCCGTCCCTTTCCGCTACATCTTTGTATAGGCGCTACCACTCACATGTACACAGTGTGTTCCTGTGCGCAAAAGAATGTTCTCGTATTTTCGCTTGAATATCCTGGTCTTCTCCCTCCATAGCCGTCTCCCCCCTCCGGCCCCTCCTCCCCCCCCCTCCTACGGCCTTTTTTTCCGCTGTAAGAAAGGGGATTCCGGGCCCCCGGCCGGGCCGGGACTTGCCCCGGCACCGGTGCTGGCGTGGCCCACCGCCTGCCCGGGCAGGCCAACCCCGAGCATGGAGTAGGCGGCGGCTTGGTTGGGTTGGAGTGCACGCTGAGGGCCGCGGGAGATGGAGCTAAGGGTCCCGCGGGGCGCCGGGAGGGCCGGGCGAGCAGCCCCCACAACCCCTGAGCGGCCTGCAGCCAGCCCCCCCGCTTTCGCCCGAGGACCCCGGGGACGCGTGCAGGGAGCCACGTACCGACGGGCCCATGATCCAGGAACGGGTGCTGGCGTGGAGTGAGCACTTGGGCGGCCCAGCACCAGGAGGACGAACATTGTACTTCAGGTTCTGTACATCAGGGGGCTGATGAAACCTCGGCCCTAACAGTGCACCCTGTCAAAAAACCGAAGGCCGAATCACAAGCAGGCGCCAGACGCGCGCGCCACTGCAAAACGAAAACGCCTTGGAAAGGGCGAAGGGGGCGTGACCCTCACCTATCCGTTTCCTCGGAGCCTACCTAAAATAAATCAAAATAAGCGAGAGGACCACCTTGAGGGAAAAAGGCTGACGGAAAATGAGCGCATTCCTGACTCACTTTCGGCCTCCCACATTCCTCCTGATTTGTCCGGATATTAGTTGGGCCCCTTTCGCCTGCCTCCCCGGGGAGGTTCACCGGGGGCTCGGGGGCCTCGGGGGCGTGGCGCGCGCTGGGTGAGCTGTCGCCGAGGCTGTCGCCGAGGCTGTCGTCGGCCACGTCGCCGAGGTGCGGAGTGGCGGAGTGGTGCGGACGCCCGGTAATGAGGACCAACACGGTCATTTGGGGCAGGAAGACTCTATTTGGAGGACCGCAGAGGAGGGGGCGGGGGAGGGGCGTGGCCGGGCGAGTCCGTGGCCACGCCGTGGACGGGCTGCTGCGCCGGTGGTCCGCTGTCATTATCGGCTCGTTGAGAGGAGATGTTTGTTTTACCGGATCCAGATGATTAGCTTCAATTTTTCTCTTATTTCTTCATCTCGGTGTGAGTTATTCTCTCTCCTTTTTCCTCGGCCGTTGGAGCGAGTTGGGCTCCATGATGGCCTGCGGGGACTGCCGGGCCTGCGGGGCTAGTTGGCGAGTAAAATATGAGGGCGGGGTGCTCTCATCGCCTCCTGCCCGTCCGGTCCGGGTGTGCCGCGGTGTGCCGGCCCGGGGTGGGGGCATGAAAAGGCTCTGACTTACACCCCTTCCGTGGTCCTCAGTATCATGTTAAACACTTCGTTTCCATGTAAATGCGCGTTTCGCGGCCGGGGCGCCTTTGCCTCCACTCGCGGGGCGTAAAAAGCAAAAAGCAGCCCGGCCCGGCCGGACACACTTCGCGAGGAAAGTGTAATGTTATACATTCTGATGTAATGGGCTAAGCGCGGCGGCGACGCCAGCCAAGCCAGCCACAAAGATGCTCACCGCCTCACACGGCAGCAGAGCAGGCAGCGCGGCCAGAAATGGCGTGGCGGCGCGGCGGCGCCGAGAATATTCTGTAGTATTTGCACTCCAAAGAGGCGGTGACGGGGCGCGGCGGGGCGTTGCGGTGGAGCGCGCGAGCGCCTGAAAAAACACGGCGAGCAGCCGCCTCGGCTTGCCACTCGCCGCCGGCGTCAGAAAACAGGAACGGGTGCGCCGGGGCAGGCCAACGAGAATAAGCTCTTCATTACGTCGCCGGTGGCAGGCAGGCAGGCAGGCAGGCGCGTGTAGTTCGGAGGGAATGTGGCCCGGGGCGCGGCGGGGCGGCGGGGCGGGCGGGGCGGACCGCCACCACACGGAAGTCGAGTACCTACATACGTGCCCGTCGAACGGGGAATCTGGGCGTCCTCTTCTTGCCCGTCCGCGCGGACCGATTTCCTCAACACCGTATAGTGCTGCTGGAACCACAGCCTCTTCGGCAGCACTAGTGTCGGCTGCCGTGCCGCGCCCTTGGCGCCCTCGGCGGCGCCCTCGGCATTCCCCGCGGTAACGCTCGCCCTTTGGCCGGGCCACGGCCGGGCAGACCGAGCAGGCAGGCCCCACACGCGGTGCGAGGCTAGGCGCCGGGACGCCGACGAGGAGGCCAGCGGCGTGGCGCTGCGTGGCACACCATCACCTCACCTCACGGGCGCGCTGCTGGTGCTGCTCAGTTAGGTTATTATTTGGTGTCGTGACCCGAGACCACCGGATGGCCGTCGCGTCCGCCGGCCGTCGCGCAAGTGTCCTGCGGGGCGCCCTGCCCTCGCCCTGCCCTTCGCGGAAATGCAAGTCGTGCAGTTTGTTTGCGCCGCCACTGCAGCCACTGCAGCCGCTGCACCGCAGACTGCCGCTCGGCCCAAGTCTCCGTGTAATTAGTGTGAGTGCTTCGCGGAATTCGGCCCGAATAAGCACCGCCAAAAAATAAAACGTATCGGGCGGCGGAGGGGATCGAACCCGGCCCCATTGAGGGAGTGCCTCGCCGGAGCTGACCCAATTTCTGGCGCGACTGCTCGGGTGGAAGGACGCCGCCGGGCGAGGTGTCGCGGTTGGGGCCTAGAGGGAGCGGAGTGGGATGGGGGCGACTGGCCTGGCCCTGGCCAACGAACCGTGATGGGGAGGCTTGTGTTTCGGACGTGGGTCCGCGGGGCCGTGGCCGACGCGCCGCCCTGCGCGCTACGCTGGCTACGCGGGCTACGCGGGCTACGCGTTCCCGCGCGCGCTCACACCCTTCCACCCGTATGTCGCCGTCGCCGTCCGTCCGCCTGTGCGTCCCCAGCCCGTCCCCAGCCCGCAGCGACCGCTCTAAACCGCTAAAGCGTTCAGTTCACTTTTCCGGGTGAATACGCCCAGGGAGGCCCGGCCGGGCTGGGCTGGGCTCGCCGGGCTCCCTGTCATCAGAGGCCCGGGCCGCCCCGCCCTGCTGGCCGTGGCGCTGGCGGCGGTGGCGGTGTCACCGAGGCGTCGGGGGTGTGACTGGTGGCGCGGCGCCACGGCCACGCGTCGCGCAGCGCCACGCAGCGTGCCCTGTCATTATGGTCTCGCCGTTAACCTTTGAGCGACGCCCCGCAGCCTTCAGGGCCTTCAGGGCCTTCAGCCTCGCCGCGCTGAGCGACGTCCTTTGCGCCGCAAGTGAGGCGTCGCCTCCCGCCGCGTCGTCACCTCGCATCAAAGTGTCTCGTCATTTCATTTCATTTTTTATTCCCGCCACCGCGGCCCGCCCCGCCCCGCCCCGCCCACCTAACGCGATGACGAGAATTGGACCTAATAGGGGGTCGTTGTAATTCCCCAGAGTGATAATCTTCTCTTTGCCGTTCCCTGTTTGTGCAGGCAGTCCTTGCTGGCGCAGAGGGTGACGGAGGACATGAAGGGTGGCCCCAGGCCGGACTCGACGGGCGCCCACCTGTCCCCGTCCTCCGTGCCGCTGGCCGGGGTGGCCGGGGTGCCGCTGCCGAGGCCGCCGTCGTCCACCGGCTCCAGCGCGGCCGCCGAGGAGGCCGCGGCACACTACCGCCACCTCGCAGCCTCGTCGGGTGAGCAGTAACACAATTTAGACTACGAAGTTGATGTCTTCCTCAGGATCTAAGCCTAACACGCCGCTGTCTTTGCAGATGCGTCCGCGGCTGAGCAGGCGATGCGGCAGCTGCTCCACATGCAGCAGCTTCACCAGCAACACCTGCAGCTGCTGCAGCAACAGCAGCACCAGCAGCAGCAGGACGACTCGGACAGCGGCAGCTGCTCGGGTTCGGGCGCCGACTCGCGGACGGTGCGGGAGCGCAGCCGCAGCCGCGAGCGGGATGGCGACCGGGACCGCGACGACCGGGACCGCGAGGACCGGGACAAGCCGGCAGCGGGTGAGTCTCTCTTCGGTGGGACGCCGTGCGGGTCGGCAGCGCGCTGCACTGCGGTGCGCTGGGCTGCCTACCCTCGCGCTGTTTTTGACCCGCCTCTCCCCCACAGACTGCCCCACGCCGAACGTGTCCGTGGGCCCGCCGCCACCGCTGCTGCCGTACCTGTACCCGCCGTCGCTGTACGGGGGCGCCGCCGCGGCCGCGGCCGCCGCCTTCCAGGGCCTGCCGATGCCGTTCGGGGCGTCCGGAGGCGTGCACGGCGTCAACCCCAGCCTGCTGCTCAACGCGCAGCTCGCCCTCGCCGCGCAGCAGTTCGGCCACTACCCGCACCTCGCGCAGCCCTCGGGTGGGTGTCTGGCACATTACATGTGCTTGGTGTTTGTTTGAACCTGTTGCTAATGTTGGTCTCGTCCTCGCAGCGGGTGCCCTGAACCAGCACCTCAAGGCCGCCATGGCGGGCGTGGGCGGTGCCCCCAACCGCTTCAGCCCGTATCCGCTGACGCCACCCGGAGGCGCTGGGTCGCCGCTCAGCCCGTCCAGGGTCGGCTCCTCGCCGCTGGGCTCCGCGTTCGAGGCCGTCACGCCGGGGTCCTCCTCGCTGTTGGCTCGGCCGCCGTCGGGGAGCCCCTCCAGCCCGCCGAGCTACCCCCACCTGCACCACCACCACCCCGCCTTCCCCGGCAGCCGCGACCTTCTTCACCACCACCACCGGAGGTCGCCGTCGCGCAGCCGCAGCCCCTCGCCGTCAAGCAGGTTGTCACCGACGCCGGTGTCCCTGCGGCGGTCACCGTCACCAGCCAGCCTGGAGGTGGTGCGCCTCGCCCAGGGCGCCTCCTCGGCGCCGTCCACGACGTCCTCCTCGGCGTCCACGACGCAGCCGCACGCCGTGGCCTCGTCCACGACGTCGTCGTCGTCCTCGCCGTCCTCGCAGATCCGCAGCATCGAGCGGATGGTCAACGGCCTGGACGGCGTCCCCCGGAGCAAGCCAGGATCGCCCCACTCACCGGCGGGGGCGTCGTAGGGGAGCGGATGCAGTGGGACTTCCCTCAGGACGGCTCGGCCTGGCAGTTGGCGGGGAGGTGGTCTTGTGTGGCAGAAAATTTTTCTTGGAGGAGTTACGACGACTGTTCTTGTGGAGCTTTCTTCTCCGCCACACCGCGAGAACCACGCAGATCAGGCAATCACAAGATGGCCATGCCTGCTTGTGATATCCACGTGTCACTCAAAGCGCACATCCTTGCCGGCCGCCGTGTTTCCAGAAGCAGCTATGTGAAATTTAATAGTACCTTCACTCTCTGTCGGGTGGGTTTCTTGAATTTCCATGTGGCGGCAGACCTTGGTGCTGATAATAGATATAGTTAAAGCAAATTTGTTTGTGGTGTGAACGATTAAATTTATTATTTAAACTTTCTGAAATTTATTAGAATGTATATATCACAACAAATTCTACGTTATCCTTAAATTATATCACCGTTTTATGAGCATATTGATTGTTTTCACTTTGACTTTTATTTGGTGAATCAACCTGTGTTTTGTAAATATAGTGTTACTTATTTTACATTTCTTTTAATTGTTATTAATTTATACCAAAGAGTATTGTGTGTATGCAATAAGATTGTTTATACCTCAAAAGTTAACTTGCCTGTCGAATGTTTTCTTTTGTTCACCTCTGTACTGTGCATTCCTGCATTTGTTTTTCTGCAGTACCACAATATGCTTATGGAGCAACATGTCGCTTTGCGCCCTGTCCTGCGCTTCCTTCTACTTTGTACTTTGTGTAATTTATGAAGCAGACCGCGAATTCACGCAAACATAAACTGTAATTATCTTTCTTAGCTCATGAGGAAATCCTGACACGCAAAGAGTAGGAAGTGGCTTCGAAATTGCCATTTTGTGACATTGTGATTCTAGGTACAAAAACGGGTCGATTGTTTCCTTGTGCCTGTAATATTTTTTGTTTAGTTTACTCTTCTTTCCATCTCTTGGAAAAAAATGTTGTGTTTTGAAATATCTATCTGTTATCTTTCAAATTATGTCTCAGACTGATTCGCATGGAGATTATGTTAAATGTAGTACACAATTTTAGAAAAATCTAACCAACTGATTTTCATTTTCTTAATGAAGGATAGATGAAAATGTGTTAACACTCCAGACTGTTGATTTTCAGTTTACCTTGTTTTAGTAAATCTTGGCCCGTTTTGGCTTACACTTTCTTTGTTATTTCCTCGCAGTATTTGTAGATTTTATAGACTGTAAACTATATTTTGTAGACATGTCTTGTATAAGTTATTGGTTCTCCTGGAATCTTTGTCTCTACCAGCCATTATTTTTATTGAACTTAGAGCAAAAATACTTCACCATGGTCTTTGCATTAACCTTGATCATATCGTTGTGTTATTTTTGAACGAACCGGAGTACAATGTGGTTTCTCCTCTTATAAAGAGTGGAGCCTTGTAGCATCAATTTATTTTTCATCTTGGGGCACAGCGTTCTAGCTTGAAATTTAAACGCACCCAACTGAAAGTGTCTGATTATTGCAGCAGCTCTACCCCAGCTTTGTCATCAAATGCTTCGATGCCCACTAAATCTTTTGTGTTTCGTGATTTCGGCCCCTGGATACCGTGTACCACCCCTCGATGTAAGAACTTTTAAAAATAAACTCTGATAATAAGTTACATGATAATTACTTCTCTCTCTTTTTTTCTTTCCTAGACACCCTCATGTCCTCAAAACATAAAAGGAAAGAAGACAATAGCAGAACTAAACGTACCCGAATGCTCTAATACAGATTCAGCAGGCAGCCACACTGACAAGGTCCCCACACGCATGCGTGGGCCCGCTGGCGAAGCTTTCGCTTGTTTTATGCCATCCACACACGTGATGCAGTCGCTCTCCGTCTGTCCCACGGCCGGCCCCATCACTCTCTCACTCTCTCCGTCGCCTGCGAGTCGCCTGCCACCGAAACGCACCCATTTTCCCCTTGGTCGCGTTTTCAATTATTTCGGTCATTTAAACGGCGGGTGGTCGCCAAGCAGGGGTGGGCGGCGAGGGTGGCGGCGGCCCGCTGCTGCCGCCGCTGCTGGTGATCGGGACGGGGACCCGCTGGAGCGTTATCAACAAGACGCTGCCCTTCTCCGTCATGCTGGTCGTCTTCCAGAGCGGCTGCCTCTGCGGCTGCCTCTGCCTCGAACGCAGTGCTCGGCTTCCATCACGGCTAAGTCGCACAAATCTCTTTTTATGTAACCCGGCCGGCCGGCAGCAGGGCGGCAGCAGGGCGGCCGATTCCTTCCCTTGGTCGCCGCTGCGCTGCGGGCCACAACGGGGAAACTAGAAACAGAATGTTGGAGGAAGGCTGGTCGAATGCGAATGAGAAATCACGGCAAAGCCTTTCCCGAGAGCGACGCGCCGAGTCGAGAGCCGAGCGCCGCCGGGCCGAAATAAAATATTTGCGCTGGTCGCGCCACGCCGGCGCCTGGGCGGCCTGGGCGGCCTGGGCCTGGGCCCCGCTCAGTCGCTGTGGTCGCTCCGGGCGCCCTGGAGTCCTGGAACGCGGTTTCCGGGCAGCCAGCCCCGCCAGGGAGGGCCGTCTCGCACCTTTACTCGTTTCGAAGGACGCCCCGGCTGTTAGCACTGCCGCCATTCTTCCCCTCCGGAGTGTGCTTAGGCGGCCGATTTCGATCCAGACTCGCCGTCCCCGTCGGCTTCCTCACATGTGTGCGTGTCCCGGGGAAGTTGCCTTTCCATTGCTGGTCCATCAACCGGCTGCCGGCGCCTAGCCTCGCACCACCGCGCGCCGTAACGACAGTTTTAAGTTTTATTGCATGCGAGCGCCCCGTCGTCCCGCCGTCCCGTCGCGAGGCTAGCCGAGTAACGAGGATATTGAATTGGGCGATGGCGTGAGCACCTCGTTCGGGCACACCTCGCGACGAGGACGAGGCCGAGGCCCGCTGGCGTACGCTGGCGTGGCCGAGGCCTGTTTGGGACACAATCACAGCCAGATGGCGCTGCGCGACCTGCGCGACCTGCGCGCTGCGGACAGCACGGCATTGTTTCCCGAATTTACCTAAAGCCGGCACGAAATCTATTCGGCGGCGCGCCGCGGCGGGGCGGTCCGCCCGCTGGTCTTCGTGCGGTCGGGGTATAAGCGGCATGGCCGCTTATGGCGCTTCTGCCGATAGCGGCAGTGTTGTTTCGGCCCATTAAAGCCGCCCAAAGTCACCTCGCCGTCGTGGCCCCACGGCCCCGGCCGCGGACCACCGTAACACGAGGAGACGTCGCCGGGTAACTGGATAGGCCGAGGACGCCGTCGTCGCAAGTCACAGCGCGGCACGCGTGGAGCCGCGTGGAGCGCAACGCAGCGCGGGGCGTGCGCGTGGTGCAGCGCGGGAAAAGGGGCAGCTTTGAATTGGAGGAGCTCTGTCCCTCTCACAGCCCCGCAGCTCGCCCCACGAGAGCGAGAGAGAGAGAGGGAACGGCCACCATTCGGAATCACTCCGCTGTTTGCCCGTTGACAAAGTGGCCCGATTATTCGTGTGCGCACCGGAACAGAAAAATTTAGACAGGGCGGCGGATTAGGTTTCATCAAGGCAGGTGTGAAGAA